TATATATATATATATATATATATATATATATATATATATATATATATATATATATATATATATATATAACTTGGATTAAAGCAAAAAAGATATAGTCTTAGAGCTTTACGGTAACTTATTCTCACTCGGTCATCCTGTCATATCTTTGATACTCAGCTCATCTTCTCATAAGCTCATGTGATACTAAGCTTAGCGCCTCTAATGACAGTTGACAGATATACACTTTAACCTTAGAACAATCGTGTCACATTGCTTGAATTATTCAAACATTCTCTGTAACACACATATTTCACTAAATAGAAGGAAACTTTTAGTAATTAGTACTTCATAAGAAGTCATACACCATCAGACCTCCTTAAAGGATATAATTATACCTATCTTTGTCCTTGTCCAACGTCTTACAGTAACCTTATCATGGTTGCCACTCTCTATGCAATTTATTCTGCTTTTTTCACTCTACAACACATGACACACTACATACCATTCTTATGTAGGCGTTAACAGACATGTATGTCTGAACTCAATGTGTAATTTCCTATTCTGAATTTGTATGCTAGGCTGTCAGCAAATAATTAATGCACGCAATATAGATTGAATTAGGCCGATAAACCGCCCGATAAGAGCTAAACCGATACCAATCCACCCGATATCTTATCGAGTGGCTAGCGGATTAATACATTTAAAAGCCGATAACCGATAAGCCAAACCTTAAGAGTAAATAATCGCCCAAGCCGCCCGATAAGCAGCCCTAATCACAAGAAGTAAATATAGAGAAATAAAAGATAAATAATGTACAAAGAAAAATATATTTTAAAATTTCAAAAGAAATTAAAAAGTAAAAATAAAATTAAAAATTAAAATAATAGATATAAAAAGTTATGATAAAGTAAATTAAAATAAAAACAAAAAGGAAAGAAACTAAAAAGTAGCCTTGCAATTACACAGTGTAATTACCACCAATTATCACCTCCCCTTGAGAATTGGAGAGTGTAATTACACCCCTCCAGTTACACCCAATTTCATGCTGACCGAGTAATTACTTGGCCAAACAAACATGTCAAACTGTGTAATTACACCCAATTACCCCAAATTCATTTTCAAGGTGGCTTTCCTAACAAGCTCTAAATACTTAATTCGATTAAGCTTGGCAATGTATTCTTCAATCATATGATAGTATGGACGACATTAGTACATATTTCCTCTTTGTTTTGTCCCATTTTCCTTAATTTTATTGTCTGTTCTAAGCTAAAGCAATCTGTTTCCAAATTTCTCCAAAAGAAAAAATCCTGTTATGCTCTAATGAAGACACAGTGCGTTTAGCAATTTTGCTTATGATCTGAGTTTCCTAAACCGTAACTGATTCTAAGGTTAGATAGACATAGGCTCGTGATAGGTTAAAATGGCAGCCGAGTGCACAAAGCATTCCCCGATTCAGGGGAGGGCAAGTTGAACAAAGCCATTGAATCTCTTCTTCTTTGGGCACTATCTTTGGTACATCGCTTACAAAATTTTGTAGGTCTTTTGCGAAAACTTACTTCCATACGATTTTATATCTACCACGACCCTTTTTAACACCTTCACTCATAATTGTTTCATACATACAGATTGTGCATCTGTATGTCGATGTACGACATGTCCAAACCATCTCAAGCATAATGTAAGAAAAAGAAATTGGACAAGTTTTCGCCTCTAAGAATAATATTTTGCTTTTGATAGTTCATGAAATACATCCAACCAACAGTTGCACAAACATGTAAATAAGAACTGCTTATTATCTGTAAAATTCACATTATCAGTTGGTAGCATACAGCACTTACAACAATTTGCCATACAACAAATGGCAACTGTTTAATAAGCACAACAAACAATATATAATCTTCAAACTACCAAAAAAGAAAAAGATCCTGATTTGATTCGACATCTTTACCTTCACCGGGTATGGGTAACGTCTGCGTACACTTTACCCTTCCTAGACCCCACTTGTGGCATTGTCGTTGCTGTTGTTGATTCGACATCTTCCAAATGTTGTACAACTCTGTATGTTTCACTAACAAAAAGAAGACAATCGGCTTTTCAAGAAAAAAATTAAAAGAAATCAAATTCAAGATAATTATCAGAATTTTGCTGGTGTCTGACAGCTACAGCCACGGGTTTCTCACTAGTCGATGTTGGCGGCGCTGAGATTCTCTCGAATTCAACAGGCCTTGGGATCTCGGGAGGACTTGCACAACGAATCAAAGCCCAGTTTACACCTTCAAAGAAGGGATGCTGCTTAATTTCTGTAGCTCCTCGTTTGTACGCCAATCGATGCTGTGGCTCTTTCACAAGCAAGCCTCGTATAAGATCTCTAGCTGAAAAACTTACTACTGGAGATTCTGGAAACCGGAGGGGCTGACCTACAACATTGAAAAGTGTAGCTCGATTTCCTGATCCTTTGAATGGCGTCTTACCAAACAATAACTCGTAGAGAAAGATCCCGAAAGTCCACCAGTCCACTGCGCTCCCATGCCCTTCGCCTTTGATTATTTCAGGTGCCAAATACTCGTGGGTCCCAACGAAAGACATTGAACGTGCTCCAGTAGGTTCAGCCATAAGTTCTGGTAATGGGCTAACTTGGTTCCCTGTATCGTATTTAGATTTCTTTTCTTTCTTCGACTTACTAGAAAAGAAGCGAGGACCAAAACATGTTGTAGGGACAGCACATGATGGCTGGATACAGGAGGGCTCAATGCATGCTGGTTGTACACAGTAACCAGAATTCTTCCGGAGTGGCTCCGCGTCAAGAGATGACAACTTGACAAGTGTCGGACTCACAACACAGCGAAGGGAGAGATCAAAATCAGATAGCATTATGTGTCCATCTTCTCGAACAAGCACATTTTCTGGCTTGAGGTCGCGGTAGACAATGCCAAGCATATGGAGGTATTCCATAGCAAGGAGGATCTCTGCGACATAGAATCTGCAATTTTGAGATAAAAATTAATACTTCATAAATAATACCAACAGCGTCTAAAACAACCTTTTTTTCTTCGATGAGCTTGTAAATCAATCAAAGGCAAGGTTAGAGACATGATGTACAAGATTGCATCTCCCTACATCATTGCTTCAACTAAAGCGTCGAATGTGAAGACAGAATGTCCAGGACTACATGAAACATCGGACAAGAAAACATAGAGAGAGGACGTCATTGCTTCAACTGGAAAGTGTCACGATGTAAAGACAGAAAGTCTATTAGTTCAATATGTTCAATAGATATGTCTATGCCACTAGAAAATATAGAGAACTTCTAGTACTTCTAATTTTTATTTTGTATATTGTTCTGAGAGGAACTTAAATGGAGTGGCATGGACAATGAGGATACACATAGTTGACCACTTGACCCTGAGGATACATATAGGTGACCCCAAATGCTTAGGATTGAGTCATAGTTGTTGCTTTCGATAAATATGCCTATCAGTTAAATATATGAAGAATGGCAACTATATTTTAGGGTGCACACTAGTATGTTATTCATTTTGGTAAATATACATAGGGTATGCCTGAGAAAAGTATCTGGTGCATATTTTATCTTTTTATTTTTCAATTACAATTTTCATACGAGTAACTCCGTCCTTGTGAGCTTGCTCACATTGCCGGTCCCAACCCCGAAAAAAGGAGAAGGGTTGTGGTAGGCTGGCAGCCAGCGTAAAACTTATCAAGATGATGACATGAGTTGAGCTAAAATAGAAGTGAGGATGCATATAGCCGGCCCATGTTGAACAATTTTCATACGAGTATCCTAGAAAGTATGGACTGGAAGGAACACTCTGCGGCACGAAAACATTGGGCATCAGGGGCCATGAGGCAACGAAATTTATTGGATAGAACAAAAGAAACATCGGGAAATGACACACTAACTAAAACGGCTGCCGCCATATTGCTTTTAAAAATCAAAGTTATGGAGGAACTCTAGATATAGCTAAGATAAGGAGGAACTCCATATCACGAGTTAACCTAAGAATAAAGAAAGAGAAAACTGACATGAGGTAACACTGCAGTGCAAATGGTCCAGAAAACAAATGGTGAATCAGTTATGAAACATAATCCATGAATTTTAGGATCTTGCAGTATTTGGGCAGAAGGGAGAAGTTTCAATTTCTTGAGCAACGACATTCAGAATCTAACAAAGAAAATATACAGAACTCAAAGCTTATACATCCTGTTATAACTATTATACTGCATTGGAAGATATCTCTATAAAAATAGAAACAAGAAAATTTTGCCGAAGTCTCAAGTAATTATCAAGAAAATAAATAAATTAATTAATTAAGAAGTTTCGGGTCAAGTAATCATACTTCACAGCTTGTTCAGAGAAATGCTTTCCAGGTTGCCTTTGCCGAAGTGTATGCAAGTCACCTCCCGGGCAAAACTCCATTACTAGACATGAAAACTTTTCTGTCTCAAAATGGGTATATAACGTAGGCAGAAATGGATGGTCCAAGGACTGCAATATCTCTCTCTCCGTTTGAGCACGCAGCAATTTCTTACGGCCAGCTAATGATGCTTTATCCATAACTTTCATGGCAAAATAATTCTTTGTTCCACACAACTCCGACAGATAGACGCTTCCAATATCACCACTTCCCAACTTCTTTAGCAACCGGAAATGTCTCAAATCCAACCCTCCATCTTTAGCTCGGATAGCTTGAATGGCTTCCCATCTCGAATCATTAGCTTTGTGAGGTTTACTAATGCTGCTGCTCAAGCTGCTGCAACAACTTTCATCGCTTACGTCGGTGCTTGTGCTTCCCCTACAGATGCTGCTCTTCCCACTCTCAACAAAATCAGCCCGGTCACTAACTTTGGCACTTCCACTTGTTTTTCCAAGGCTACTAGTCCCATCACTGACTTTGGCTGATGCTGAGCTATCATTGACGGTTTCATTTTCTGAGCCCTTTGTGTCACAAGGCATGGAAACTGCACCAATTGGAGCATGTTTCAGATTTCCCAAATATAAGCTCGAATTAAGCTTATCAACCAGTAAGTCGGCAGATCCTGCTTCTGCCGTAAGCTGTTTAGATGCAACTTTTCGATCATTGCTTCGTAGCTCTTTGAATGTTGTGCTCTCAGACTTGCCACTCTTTGAAACTTGAGAAGGTGCTGACGTCCGAGAATTACGTTCTACTGCTTGATTTCCCGTTGACTTACTCAGCTTTTCCAGTGAACTCTTGACAGAAGCGGTTGACGCCATTAAAATGAACAATGATTCCTCAATGCAGCCAGGCCGACCAAACCCATTACTCAGCTTCCAACAACAGCATAAAAGTTCCCAGATTGAAAGTATGAAACTACATAAACACAATCAAGAGACATGATGTGAACTAGAATGCCAGGTTATCGATAGGATTAAGTAAAGGACAACAAAAAAGATGACTTCAAAACTCTTATAAAGTGGAAAACATATAAAAGAAACTACATAACTTATGAGAAAAAAATAGATCTACATTAAGTAAAAGGACAATCAAACTGGGATTTCTATGATTACTTCAAAGTCCACAATTTCTAATCCACATTCAACAAACAATTTATTCAAAGATCCAAATCATAAGTAACACCAACAACTATTACGCCTCAGTCCCAAACAAGTTGGGGTCGGCTATATGAATCCTCACTTCTCCATTTAAGCTCAATTCATATCATCGTCATTACACAAATCATAAGTAACAACAACAACTACTACTACTACTACTCAGTTCCAAACAAGTTGGAGTCGATTATACGAATCCTCACTTTCTCCACTTAAGCTCAACTCATGCCATCGTCATTACACAAATCATAAGTAACAACAACAACAACAACTACGCCTCAGTCTCAAACAAGTCGGGGTCGGCTATATGAATCTTCATTTCTCCATTTAAGCTCAACTTATGACATCATCAATACCCAAATCATAATTAGTGCAAGAAAATGCTTAAGACAGCTAAAATCCCAGTGATCTACCTCAAAAGGTCAAATCTTTATTAAAACCATGAATTGAAACAGAACACCAAATCAAAAAAATGCGGACTTTCAGCAACATAGCATAAAATTATAACAACCCCACATGCATAAACAAAGAAAAGCAGTATAAAATAGTCAATGAAACAGCAAACAGATCTTGAGCCAAGACCTAAACTTTTTTTCAAGAAAACCCTACAAAATGGATCAAAAAACTTACCCAGAAAGACCCAGATGCTAAAAAACAAAGTCCCATCTAGGACCATTTGAAAAGTGCAGGAAAAAAAAAAGACTAAAGAATAGTACCTGAAGTGTCAAAAAGATGAGAACTTTAGGGTTGTTTTTTTCTTTTTGCTTTAGAAATGGGGAAGTAGAAGCACTACTGTTGACAGAGATAAAGAGAGGGGACCTCTAATAAAAAAATGTGTGGAGATAGAACAAAGAAAAGAGGTGGCAAATGCTTTTGAGAGTGTAAAGAAGCTGGGCACTTTACCAAACAAATTAACAATTGTATTGGGAAGAGAGAGAGGGAGAGAGAGTTCTTTTTTAATTTTCCTACTTGGTATTTGGTACTTATTCATTCTGGGATTTGATTAATAGGGTGTTTGGCCAAGTTTTTCTAAGTTGAAAAGCATTTTTTTCAAAAAAGAAAATTACTTTTTTAAAATTTGAAGTGTTCGGCCAAGCTTTTAAGAGAAAAAATGCTTATGATGAGAAGCAGAAGCAGATTTGGAGAAGCGGAAAATAGTAGCTTCTTCCCATAAATATTTTTTTAAGAATCACTTTTGAGGGAAATACACTTAGAAGCATTTTTTTAAAAGCTTGGCCAAATACTATTTGTTGCTGCTTTTAAATTAATTAGTCAAACACAAACTGCTTATCACCAAAAGTACTTTTGAGAAAAGCATTTTTGAAAAAAAAAATACTTGTCAAAATAAGTTGATTTTTTCAGCTTGGCCAAAGAGGCTATAATTTAGATTTGTTTGGAGAAGTTCCATTTTGAGTTCCAATTAAAACGAATTTAAGTCGGAAAGTCTCACTTTGGGGGAGTAGTACGTTTTGAATTAAAGGCGACTTCATACTCGTTATTCAAGCACGTGACCTCTAAATAAGGATGAATAAGTATTTATCATTCCCTACAATGTTTGGTGGAGATAGGAAAACTAAAGTGTACATTAAATAAGTATAAATTATTAATTTAGAATCTAATAACTTAAAAGGCGAGAAATTCAAAACTAGCCAGATTTACAAGTGATCATTCAAATATAGCCACAGTTTCAAAAGTAATCAGAAATTTAGCCAATTTTCATGTAAAGATAAATATGAACGAAAGCACTGTTCAAAATCCGAAAAATACTCCAGCATAATATAATGGAATTCCAATATAATATACCGGAACTCCAGTATATACTGGACTTCCAACATAAGTATACTGGCCTTTCAGAATAATATACTGGAGTTCGAGTATAATATATCAGTCCAGCATAATATGCTAGAAGTTCATAGACAGGTGCTCCAATCTCCAGTATATTATGCTGGAACTTTCCGCGTGTTGGAGTTCCAACATAATATATTGGAAGTTCATACACAGGTGCAACGATCTCCAGTATATTATGTTGGAACTTTCCGTGTTACAGCGAATAGTGGCTATTTTTCAATGACTTTGCAAACGCTGGCTATTTTTGAATGATCAGTCCGAGAACTGTCTAGCCCGTACTATATTTACACTTAAAAAGTACTAAAATTTTCAACCCATAAACTTCAAATATAGGCTCCGGTCCTTTTAGGTGGGGAGAGAAAGTTAAAGCTTTTCACTTTCAATTATTTGATGGTTTGTATTTTGTCCCGAACACATCGACATATGGGCCACCACAGTCTCCAACCTGTCTCTCATGCTTTCAGTTTCAGATTATTAATTTATTTATTAAGAAAAAAACTCCAATCTTTTCCACTATTTACTTTATCCAAAGATTCTTCAACCTAATATTTTGTTGATGATAATGGTCCGCCAAACATTCAGACGAGATGTTGACCATTGGATTCAAGAAAATAGAAAAGGATTAAATTTGCTTTGTATTAGATTTTTGGAAAAAAGGCCAAAATTGTACCTCTACTTTGAATAATTAGTCACGTTTATATCCGTTTCTACTTTTCGTCTAAAATTGTACCTCTACTTTGAATAATTAGACTAATTAACGGGTTCTATTTTAATCCAATAGGGTCGGGCGGGTTTTTAAAAATGGGTTCATATTGCTTAGTTGGCAAATAATTATGGGGTCCTAGGTGCCATGTTGGACATCTGTTAGGGTTAGGGGTAATTTTAGTTACTATGTTAACGGTAGGTACAATTTTAGACGAAAAGTAAAAACGAGTATAAACGTGACTATTTATCCAAAGTAGAGGTACAATTTTGGCCCTTTTCCCTAGATTTTTTAATTTAATACTCTCTCCGATCCACTTTATGTAACACAATTACTATCTAGACTCTAGAGAGTCAACAAAGTTTTTCTTTAATCGTAATTTTTTTAAAATTTGCTTCGTACAACAATTTTGTCATGGGTTAGATTTTTTAATTTAATACTTTCTTCGATCCACTTTATGTACACAATTACTATTTAGAGAGTCAACAAACTATTTCTTTAATTGTGATTTTTCATGTGACTTTTAAATATTTTGAATTATTAGTTATTATAAAGTATAGTACTTTCTATGTAATTTCTTAAGATGTAAATTATATTTTAAAAAAATTTGAAGATTTTATGTATGAATTCACTCGAAAAGTTAAATAGTTTGAACCTCATACTACAAATTGTGTCATATAAAGCGGTACGGAAGGAGTATTATCTTCGTTGATAGGAAACATCTCGTTTTGTCCTAAACCCTTAACGGAGCCATAAACTAAGAGGTGAGTTTAACATTTTAAATCATAGTCAAAAGTCGAGAGATAAATATGAATCTTGTATCTAGAAAAATTTGAACACGTGAAATCTATCGACTTCACGCAAGAACTCTGTTAATGACAAGGACAAATACAAGACAATTTGCGAACGTGGACCAAAAGTGTTTGAATCACTGTTAAATGAAGAAGCTTAGTGGAGTTGTACGTTGAGTTTGCGTAATAGTACCTAACCGTTGGAGTCAGTTAATTAGACGGGAATTTATAAGTTTTGGGTAGCGACACTTAAGTCCTCCCTATAATTATTTCATACTTTCATAGGTTACAATTAGATCCCTGTAATTAGGTCTTAGAAGGACTTTGGGTCCATTATAGTGGTTATCTTGTTTTGTCTTGTAGTGATAGTGGGATATATATATTTCTGTACCTCAGCAGCTGAGGCAATCAATCAAGAGAATATTTCTTTACCCTAATTTCATTTCTTTTTTGCTATCTTTCTTTATTGTTCTATTGCGGCTGTACCATTTAGTATCAGAGCACGACCTCGGCTCTGTGAAGTAATGGCGGAATTGACTGAAGTTATGAAGATATTACACCAAATCTCTACAGAGATGACTGGATTTGCAGCTAGACAAGACCAGCTTGAAGCTGACCATGAGCAGTCTTGTAAAAACCAAGAAGCAGCTTTGAGTGAAATCGGGGAAGTGTTGAATGAAGCCATTCATGGTGGAAAAAGGCCTCTTAATCCTACTGGTGGGGAGCTGTATTCACCAAGTGATAAGCCACTCGAATTAGGTGAGTTAGCTACTCCTTCTTCTTCAGCTGGTGCCAGTAGCTCGATTCCCTTATGAACAAGCATCAGCACTGTTCCATTGAATGTAAGCAACCAGATTCCTACTCTACAGTTACCACCACCTGGTACCTCTGTTAATTTTAACCTCTCCCACTTCCTGTGAATCTCAGCTATCAGACACCAGTCCCTCTAACACCAGGTCGAGCTGCTATACCCCAGTTTAACCAGATCCAACCAACACAGCCAGGTTTTTCTCCTCAACCTAGGTTTGCTAATGTCCATCCCCAACCTTTTCTTACACCTCATGGAGCTAGTAGACCATATTATTCTGCACAAAACATGCCAATGTCGTATGGCCCTTATCCACCAACATACTCCCCACAACCCACACATATCTCACCATCCCTATATCACCAATTACCTTACACTCAGCCTACCCCTGCACATGTTCCTTACCACAGTAATCCCATGTATGTTAACCAACCAAACCCCCAAAATGTAGCCTATCCTAATTTGCCTTTCACTAAGTACACCAAGGTGGAATTCCCTAAATTTAATGGTGAAGATTTGAGAACTTGGTTGTATAAGGTGGAGCAGTTCTTTGCTGAAGAAGAAGTCACCATCCAACAAAAAATGAAGCTAGTATCTCTTCACTTTGAAGGGGATGCCCTTCAACGGCATTTGGGTACATGAGGAGCAGGGGACAATCACCCCTTCCTACATGGGAGGAATACATTTGGGCCTTGTGTGATACCTTTGGAGCTGAATATACTGATCCCATGACTGAGATCATGAACATTAAACATACAGGGACAGTAAAGGACTATCAAAGATCCTTTACTAATGTTATGACTAGACTCAACATAGCTGTAGAGCATGCCATCAACATATTTCTAAACAACCTAAAACCAGAACTCAGCAATGCTGTAAGGATTGGCAACCCTTGTACACTACCCCAAGCCTTCTACTTGGCTAGATTACATGAAGCCAACTTTGCAGCCTAGAGTAAGGCCTTGAAAGTGAGCAACTCAATGTCAGCTGTGCACAAGGGAAACACGGGTCAGGGGCCAAGCACTTGGCCCAGGAACAACATGAATACATTCAGGAAACCAACTACAGCTAAGTTTGACAATAACAAAAGGAGGAGGTTAAGTCCAGCAGAGATGGAGGAAAAGAAGGCTTAAGGACTGTGTTTCTTTTGTGATGAGAAGTTTGTACCTGGCCACAAATGCCAGGCCAAGAGGCAATTGTTCTCACTAGAGCTGGAAGCAGGTGAGGTACTAATAGAAGAGGAAGAAGAGGAGCAAATAGAAGGGGAAGGAGAGGAGATAGCTACAGAACTCCCTGAGAATTGTGCTATATCTCTGCAGGCTCTAAATGGAACCTTAGGCTACCAAACCTTGAGGTTAAGAGGGTTCACAGAACAAAAACCTTTGGAGATCTTCATCGACTGTGGTTCTACACACAATTTCATAGATGAAGGAACAGCAACAAGGTTGGGATGCCCAATAAGCAAGACTAAGCCTCAGTTAGTACAGGTTGCTGATGGTAGAGAAGTGCCTACATATAGCATATGCAAGGGGTTCAAATGGTTAATGCAAGGGGCTGTGTTCCCGGATGATTTCCTAGTATTTCCAATTGGCAAAAGTGATATAGTATTGGGAATACAATGGCTCTACCCTCTAGAGGATATCAAGTTCAATTTCAGAAAACTTATGATGGAGTTTGAATATAAAGGGCAACTGCTCACCTTACAAGGGATTCAGCCAAAGTTCAAAACAGTTCTACCAAGAGCTATCAGCAAAATGACCATTGAAGGATCACAGTTCTTCATGGTTAAGGTAAGAGAGGTTGAATGCAAGGAAGTTAATGTGACAGAACTTGAAGAGGGTGAGGGATCAAAGGAACTTAAGGTGGTTCTTGCTGAATATGCAGGAATATTTGGAGAGCCAACACAGCTACCTCCTTCAAGAGGGGTGTTTGATCATCATATTCCCTTGAAGGAGGGCAGTTTGCCAGTCAACTCCAGACCCTACAGATTGTTATACCCCATTTTAACACGGGTCAAATTAGAGTATAACATATTGGTAATTCTGAGGTATATTTGATTAAAGAGAGTCGCCACCTAATTATTTTAAAGGTGAATTAGGACACCCATTTAAAGTTAACTCTATTTTTTATGGTCCGCTTAACCTTAAGATTATGTGTAAGGGTTCCAATTAATCTTATAGGGAAGGTTGTAAAAGCACCCTATGTGACCCGTTAATTACGGTTAACCGACCAAGCTTAGGTTAATTAATTTTAAAATTAAGTAGCAATATGTATTAAAAAAACGTTTGTCAATCGAATTTAAAACATTATGCAGTAACGTTATGAAATGAGTCTTTCAAAATTGTATTGTATACATTCATAATTGAGAAAGAAAATTACTTACTTGAAACTCAAACAATAAAAAAAGTTTGGATTTAACTTCTAGGAAAATGTTTAAATTCCACAGTGCCTTGACAAACCCAACAATTAAACTCGTTCTTCAAAGGTTAGGACTTACGAAAATAGTTTTCATAAATATACTTTAGAAATCATTCTGCTGGACTTAAAAATATTGTGTTTACGAAAGCTTAACACAAAGCCATTAGAAAATAATTTGATGAAAGGTTTTGAAACATTACTTTAGAACTGATTCTAAGTTCTTATATTACACGCTGCATTTATGTGATTGAGACGGTACCAAATCGATAATAAAAATAAAGATTCTACATACTTAAACAACTATGATAGCACGAATTTTTTCAAAATATAATCCCAGAAATTTGAGATAAACTCAAATCACACAAGTAAAGGTCAAATAGCATGAATGATATAGGGAAAGAAAAGAAAGACACCATAGGCGTCTCCAGGCGTTTCACTTGTTTTTCTCGCTATTTGGTGCTCTAAGGAAGATGGTGTGCAATGACTCCATGTGGTGGTGGTAACTTGAGTCTCTACGAGACTTCCACTGAAGAGCTCGAATTAAGACTCCATTTGCTCCAAAGTGTACATGCAAAGAAAGGGAGAAACAAAATTAGGCACATATAGTATGGGAATATTCACAAGTGAGATTGCTTTAAAGTTCATACAGCAGCACAATAACCAAACTATAGGCAAAATGCACGTATGGCTATGTTAACAGGAGATTGTGTTTCTTTCTTTCTTCTTTTTTTTTTCCATGGAGGCATAATACAGAACTTTCAAATAATTATAATGGTAGAAACACAATTTTAAACGCATGATCTTTGCTAACAGAGAAGTAATTTTATTAATTAACTTCAACTTGACCTACTGGTTTGTAAAAGGGTTTCAATTCTTAAACAAGCATGAACGGTGCAGATGAAAAATTACACTCTTATAAAGTCTTCCCTTTTACATATCAGGTTCCCCACAAACACAAGAGGCCTAGCCTTTACTAATAGAAACTAACTACTGCAATGTTCTACGCCAAATAATTTACATTCCTTATTTTAAGTACTATCTAAAATGTATACGATTTATGGGGAGCTTGCTCCAGTAAAAGACATGCTCTATTCATAAGATCTCTAGTCATAAATATGCACTCGCACCAATATTTTATAATGAAACATAATAGCCTATATTTTCTATAGCTAAGGAGATGCTTTTAAATCTTATAGGCATGACATCTAAAGAGGTGAAAACAAATCGGACTTCTCATATAGCAGCCTATATTTCTGTTGGTTCAATTTCTTTCAAGCAAAAAATGTTGCAGAATCCTATAGGCATAGTTTTATAATATGAAAAAGAAAGAAAAAAATTCCTAACACAAAATTTGAATTTTAAATACATGATTTCTATATTTTGTAAATAAAAATAACTACTGCCATGCTTTATCATCTAAGAAACAAGAGAATGCGCACTATCACAGAAACGAGATGTATTCTTTCTTTCATGTGACTTTTAAGTGAGCAAATACTATATCAATCCTAAATAGTATTTCAATATTACTACTAACTAAACAAGTGTCTCTCTTAACTATAACCACGATCACTACAAGAAAAATCTTTGCGTAGGCATTTTGTCGAGTACTTATCGATTAATACGGATAATTATACAACCAGAGCATAATTTAACTCAATGATATTACTTTACAAATGAGAAAAGAACAATACACACTTTCTAGCAAGAAAACTAAAACGCACAGAAAAACAACTCGAAACTAAACAGCATCAAGAAACAACTAAGAGCATACTAGTATCTATTTTTGACAAAACCAAGAAAGCTAACAACATTTCACATAATGTACTGCCATATAAGAGCATTTCAGATTTTAGAATTGAATTAAACAAAGAAGAAAAGTTACTGACCTTTTTTGGGGCAGTGAACTAGGAGTGTCGTCGATCAACTATCGTACTTCGACCTCAAACTCGCTACCTCGTCTGAGCAAAAGAAAGCGCCTCTGTTTTGAAATTGCAAACCAAATAGAAAAAGAATTGGTCGACCTTAGGATTTTTTTTGAAAACTAGTGAGTTTCAGAGAAGGAGGAGGCGGCTCCCCGGTGGTCCTCAATAGACCCAAAAATGCTAGTATTTATAGGGCAAAATTAGGGCATTTCCTAGGGGGGTTTGGGCGGGACTTTTTAAGTCCTGATTTGAATCACACTTTCCGTTTGAAATCCGAACGTTAGAGTTTTGGATGGATGCGGTCAGATTAATCAGAGAAAGAAGAAAAGAAATGAAGAGGTCAAAGTTAGCACTGAGATTTCTGAAAAGGCTGGAGAAAAATCAAGAAATAGGAGTTTACTTTCACGTGATTGAGGCGAGCAAAGATAAAAATGGAGTTGACAACTACTATCCATTGTTGGTGAGAGTTGTTTGTTATCTGAAAATAGAAACAAAGAAGAAGAAGCGAAGAGAGGCGCTTGGGGATGAGAAATTGATTAGGGTTGAATTTTAAGGTTATTTTTGTTATTGGCTAAGTTGGTTGGCTTTTGGTTCGATACTGGGCTGATCCAAATTGCTAGCTCCTTGGACAAAAAGAATGGGCTATTTCCATCAGGCAAGACTACAAAGCTTTTGGACTTTGATTTGAATTTGGATCCTTTCTTCCTTACTTTCTTTATGGCTAAAATATTCTAACAATTATATTATCTAATGTTATGTTAATATTAGCATAATAATATTAAGGAATTAATCATGTTACTCAATAAAATTATTATTACTAGTATTTAAATTTATTAAAAAAAACATTTATACTAATCGATAAGTACAAAGCCATAATGTTCTTGGACGAAATATTTAGTAAGGTCTTGCCTTTTCGTAAAAGGCAATAATAATAATAATAACAATATTATTATTATTATTGTTATTAATACTAGTAATAGTGATATTAAGTAAATAATAATAATTAGGTTTGGTTTGTGCTAAAAATGATAAAATAACTATTCTTACATTATTAGTGATATTAGAAGCTTACAGAAATAGTTTGGAAGAAAGGAGGGTCAAAATTGGATGTCAACACAGATACTCACCAGTGCAGAAGGATGTCATTGAGACAATGGTAAAGGAAATGATGGACCAAGGCATCATACAGTACAGTTCGAGCCCCTATGCCTCTCCAGTGGTGCTAGTAAGCAAGAAGGATGGGTCTTGGAGACTTTGTGTTGACTATAGAGCCCTTAACAAGATGACAATTAAGGACAAATTCCCTATACCCATTATAGAAGAACTCCTAGATGAGCTGGGAGGGTCACAGATTTACTCCAAGATAGATCTCAAAGCAGGGTATCATCATATTAGAATGGCACCCAATGATATCCAGAAGACAGCCTTCAAAACCCACTCTGGGCACTATGAATACCTGGTCATGCCCTTTGGGTTGACCAATGCTCCATCCAGTTTCCAAAGCTTAATGAACCACATTTCCAAGAGTATCTCAGGAAATTCATCGTAGTTTTCTTTGATGATATCCTAGTCTACAGCAGTAGTTTGGAAGAGCATCTGCAACACTTAAGACTAGTCTTTGGATTGCTACTTCAACACCAGCTGTTAGCAAAGAAGAGCAAATGTGTCTTTGTTGCACAAAGGGTGGAATACTTAGGTCATTACATCTCAGCTCAAGGGGTGTCAACTGATCCGAGGAAGATTGAAGCTGTCCAATCATGGCCTGAGCCTCAATCAGTGACACAACTAAGAGGATTTTTGGGGTTAACAGGGTATTACAGTAGGTTCATAAGAGGGTATGGAGTGAAGCAAACCTCTCACTGACATGCTAAAGAAAGATGGGTTCACTTGGACTGAAGGGGCCAGAAGAGCTTTCAGTCAACTTAAGGTTGCCCTCACCACAACTCCTGTATTAGGCCTCCCTGACTTCTCATTGGCTTTTGTGGTTGAGACTGATGCCTGTAATGTGGGCATTGGAGCTGTTTTGATGCAGAAGGGACATCCTATTGCTTTCCTCAGCAAGGGATTATCCACACAGCATCAGTCCTTGTCTGTCTATGACAAGGAGTTGTTAGCATTAGTAATGGCAGTCAACAAATGGTCTCAGTATTTGACAATGAGACCTTTCATTGTTAAAATAGATCAGAGGGCACTAAAATTTCTACTGGAACAAAAGCTCCACACTGGTACTCAGCTCAAATGGATCACCAAACTAATGCAATATGACTTTGAAATAGAATATAAAAAGGGAAAGAAAAACAAAGCAGCAGATGCCTTGTCTAGAATTCCACTGATACAATTTGCTTCTATGACCCTATCCACTGTGAGGACTAACTTGCTAGAAATGATTATGCAAAGCTGGGAGCTAGATGGAGAATTAAAGACTATCATTCATTCAATACAACAAGGAGAAGATAACACAAAGGGGTACACTTTTATACATGGCCAACTCAGAAAGAAGGGGAAGTTAGTAGTGGGACCTGATTTTCAACTTAGGAAGGACATACTGAAATTGTGGCATAGCTCAACAGTAGGAGGACACTCTGGGATAGAGAACACCTATAGAAAAGTAGCTGCACTCTTTTATTGGAAGAACATGAGACAGGAAGTTCAAGAATTGGTTAAGGCATGTGATGTTTGCCAGAGGCACAAGTACGATAATGCCCCTTATCCTGGGTTACTACAACCACTCAAAATACCAGTGGCAGCTTGGAGCAGTATCAGCATGGATTTCATAGATGGGTTGCCTAAATCTAAAGGAAAAACAGTGACTTGGGTAGTGGTGGACAGACTAAACAAGTATGCTCACTTCCTAGCCCTTTCCCATCCTTACTCTGCTCATGATATTGCCAAACTTTTTATGCAAAACATATACAAGCTACATGGAATGCCTGAGAACATCATCAGTAATAGGGACCCCATTTTTACAAGTAAGGTGTGGCAAGAACTGTTTTCTATGATGGGAGTAACCCTCAACACCTCTACTGCCTATCATCCTCAAACTGATGGGCAGACAGAGGTAGTGAACAGGTGTTTGGAGACATACCTAAGGTGTTTCTGCTCAGATTCTCAATCAGATTGGTCACAGTTTCTAGCAGCTGCAGAATGGTGGTACAGCATAACTTTCCACACCTCTATACAAAGCACACCATATGAGGCATTGTATGGACAGCCACCCCCATTACACCTGCCCTACATGGCTGGGGATTCTCAAGTAGAGGAAGTTGACAGAAGCCTATTGACTAGAGAATTTAAGACACAACTGTTGAAATATCATCTCAAGAGAGCTCAACAAAGGATGGTAGAACAAGCCAATAAACACAGGTCTGACAGGCAGTTCAAGGAGGTAGATTGGGTTTACCTTAAAATCCAGCCATACAGGCAGCTATCTATGTCAGGCAGACATTTTACTAAGCTCTCAGCAAGGTACTATGGCCCTTATCAAGTGCTGCAGAAGATAGGATCGGTGGCATACAAGTTGTCACTTCCAGCCCAGCTCTTATTGCACCCCACTTTTCATGTTTCTCAACTTAAGGCTTGCCATGATCTACCTTCTAGTATGACCCATCCGCCTGTGATCGAGCTATCTAGTCTTTACTGCCCACAACCAGAAGAAATAATGGAGAGAAGGCTGATTCAAAAAGGAAACAAGGCAGTGGCTCAAGTGTTGGTTAAGTGGAAGGAGCTTCCATCAGAATTAGCAACCTGGAAAGATTACTCAGCATTGAAGATGCATTTTCCATCTTTTCTTCCTTGAGGACAAGGAAGATTTCAACAGGGGAGAACTGATGCACAGTTAAATGAAGAAGCTTAGTGGAGTTGTACGTTGAGTTTGCGTAACAGTACCTAACCGTTGGAGTCAGTTAATTAGACGGGAATTTATAAGTTTTGGGTAGCGACACTTAAGTCCCCCCTATAATTATTTCATACATTCATAGGTTACAATTAGACCCCTGTAATTAGGTCTTAGAAGGACTTTGGGTCCATCATAGTGGTTATCTTGTTTTGTCTTGTAGTGATAGTGGGATATATATATTTCTGTACCTCAGCAGCTGAGGCAATCAATCAAGAGAATATTTCTTTACCCTAATTTCATTTCTTTTTTGCTATTTTTCTTATCTTTCTTTATTGTTCTATTGCGGCTGTACTAGTGTTATGAATGGCAAAATTGAACAATTTCCAAGTGTGCATTCAGATGCGATCCAAGAAAGTAATATCGTTGAGGCAACAAATCGTCTGAACTTGAATGCAGCTGAAATGGTAGGCAAGGCTAGTTCTAAGAGTTTTGTAAAATGAGTTTAAGTTATATACACTGCTAATAAAAGAATTAGTCTATTCGTTATGTAATTTGGTTCGATCTGTGATCCTAGTGATGATTGAAGCTCCTATTTTGAAGGGTCCCATTGATAAAGAAATGGACCTTTAGTTTAACTTACCATAAAAGTTAGCTTAAATATTGCGTAAGACCATATAAAGAACCAATGTGGGAACTCGACAGACCCCGAGCTGAGCCACATAAAGAGACCAATTTTAAAGTATAAATGGCGTGGGATAGCCACTTTTAACATGGTATTTAGATTTTATCCAGTATTTTTAGTGCTGAGTAAAAATAGCGACTACTCTATTAAAATTAATACGAAAAGATGTTTTGCCCTTTCTTCATGAGTGCTGTGTAAATATTAAGGACATGGTGTCCTTAACATTTAAACTTCACACATGAAGTTAAGAACGCCATGTCCTTAAAATTTACACTGCACATATGAAGTTAAGGACACGATGTCCTAAAGTTTAACAACGTAAGGTGCAAATACATGACACTTTGTCCTTAATATTTATAAGGTTGAATACATACAGAGACACTTAAAGTTGACACGTATTTTTTATTTAGACACCTAAACTCAAGGGTGTTCTTATTGAACAGTTATACTACCCGAAACTTATTCCAATTAAGCACTTCTTGCTAAGTTGGCACATAAAGTGAGTTTCACCCAATATAGGTGCGTGAACGAACCCCCAAAAAATAGTATTTTTTTTCCTTCTTCTTCTCCCTCAAAAACAAAACNGGGTACTTTCGGGGGGGGGGGAGGTCCTTAGGGTTATTAAAAATATGGATCACCCACAATGTCTGGAATTCACTCCTCAATGAGGGGCTACACGTGACATTATCGCGTGGTCATCATATCCATATCTACCCTTCCCACCCCGTTAAGGTACTAAAGCGCGGATTGGTCTCGATTACTTATTGCATGCTATTACCCGTCCCATTCATATCAGTCCCGGAGGCATTTAGGACTACTAATCCTAAAAGGGAGGGGTATTAGGCTTATTTGAAGTTTCAAAGATAAAAATTCTAAGGCGACATACAAAACATATAAAGACTGCGCATTAAAGGGGGAAACACACAAGCATATAAGGCTCAAGTATACCTCCTCAAACAAAAGCACATAAATAGCATGACTTGCACATACTTTTTAGGTCTGATTTAAAGCACATAAAGACGAGGGAAGTTAATTGTTGAGGCGGCTTAGTTTATTGCATAACTCAGATGAGAAGTCAGAGTCAGGCCTGCCTGCTGGTTGTAGCAATTCAGAAAGCGGATTTAGTTTTACAATTATTATCCTAAGGCTCGCCTGAGTGCTTAGACGGAGTCCTATAGGTATGATGTCTACTTAGTTCAGAAGGTAGTAAGATAGTAGAACTCGAAATAAATTGTTTGAAATCCTATAGGCATGCTTGCTAAACCTTGTTAAGTAAGGGGAAATGAAGTTCAGAAGGGACAAAATTAAATTAGACTAGTTACAAGTTCTGCAGGTGATAGTATCTACTATTACTGATTTTTAATCCCTATTAACAGGATATCTAATATTGAATGGGAACGAAACAAGTCAGATTTTATTTAAGAATCCATGCAGGCATGATTTCTATATGTTACTGATTTCAAAATTACGAATGTGATACTTATTTATATCCGTTTAGAACCTAAAGCATGATATCTAAGTGGCATGCAGAATTCGAATACGACCTATAGGTAGGTTATCTAGGTGTGAAACTGAACAAGCAGGATTTAGTATAAGTCCTAGAGACATGATTTCTAATGTAGTTTGAAAGTGCAGAATTAAAAGAAGTCCTATAGGAATATTTTCTAATGCAATTTGAAAATGCAGAATTAGAAGAACTCCTATAGACATATTTTCTAATGCAGTTTGAAAGTGCAGAATTAAAAGAAGTCCTATAGACATATTTTCTAATGCAGTTTGAAAGTGCAGAATTAAAAGAAGTCCTATGGGCATATTTTCTACCCTTGCATGCATAATTACCAAACCCTCTTTCACTAGCCAGCCCCAAATGTTCATTAAAAATTATTACAAATCAGGAATAAAAAATTACATTAGAAAAAGTACAGAGAAAAATTACAACCAGAGGAAGCTTGATTCTTGGCTTCCTCTCTGAGTTATGAGATAAACCAACTCGAACACCACTGATTCAAAGCCTTTCTCAGACTTGAGTGTGTCAGAGTTCCCTAAGGGCCTAATAGGATCTCGGGCAGTGCTCACACCCAAGTTTCATAACCAGAATAGGGACAAGTGCAGTGTGGAAGTGCCAGCCCTCTTATGTCCAAGTTTAGAGGGAGCTCATGGGTCCTAAGGCAAGGCTCACACGAGGGGGGCAGAACTTAAGTCTAAGAAGATAGTGCAAGTGCAGAAATAGAGTTCTAAGAGTTGAGGGAATAAAGAAGAGGGATAAATGGTGGTAAGGAAACAGTTACAGAGTTGATAACTTCATACAAAAGGGGTTCAAGGGTTGGGAATTGTAAAGAGCCTATG